GGCACCTTCCACACCCCACCCCACCCACTGAGGGAAATTCAAGGGCATTAAAAAAGAAACTGAATAACTGAATTGCAGCTTCTGCTTTGGTTGTTGCCCAGCCGTGTGCAGACCTCACACACACAGAAGGTCTCAGCTGCTCCTCCCCTCAGGAGCAGGAAAGGTGACCAGGACTCTCCTCTCTGTGGCTCTCCCGTGGGGGTTGGACATGCTCTGCCTGCTCTATCAGCTCCTACTCTCACCACAGAGCTGCCACGTGCTGTGGCCTGTCCCAGGTCAGCTCCCACCTGAGAGTTGGGATCCACACCTGGACTGCAAACACGGCTGCGGGGATGAAGCCTGGGTTGGGGGGCAAGGAAAAGCTGGGGCACAAGCTGACATGGGGCAGGAGCAGGCTCACATGTGGCCTCGGAGGAGCCCTGGAGCTGTGTGGGCCAGGGGACCAAACCCCCCAACCTCCCCGCAGCCCCCTGTGCCTTTCCCAGGGAAGGGAGGTCACCACAGCCCTGCTCTGCTCCTGCTGCTCCGGCTCCGCTCAGAGGGATCCATGGGTTAAGGATGATGGTGAAGTGAGAAATAGTAACAAACGAAATCCAAATGCCTTCCCGGCAGTCCAGAGCGACCCAACGGGGCTCAGGACAGGTTCCTGGAGCCTGGCTCTGAGCTGGGCATTCTCTCTGCTGGTGCTGGGCAGGGGCTGCTCTCCCCCCGGTCCTCCAAACCTCTGTCCTGGTCATTGTCCCCCCCTGAGGCTGGAGGGGGCTCTGCCACGCTGCTGCTGCTGCTGCTGCCCACACAGTTCTTGCCACTGGGTTTTGCTCGGCTGTCTGAGCCCTCGAGAGCCTCAGTCTGCTTGGGAAGGGAGGGGCTGAGGAGAGGGGCCCCCCCCTCCTGCAGCGGGACGAGGGGCGCAGCCCCCGCAGCAGGGGGAGCATCTGCTGCGGCCACCACGGACGTGGAGGTGACCTCGATGGTGATGGAGCCCACGGCCGTCTCCGGGCGGTCACTGCTGACCCTGATGCGGGCGACCAAACCAGAGGCCGTGGCCGCCTCCTGAGGGGTCCCGTTGGCCACGGCTTCGTGCACCACAGTGGGCTCCAGGAGGGTCGTGCTCAGGTCGGACAGGAAGGAGGCCTCTGTCACGATAGCGGCCGTCTCGGCCACCCAGTTCAGGTCGCTGCCCACGGAGGCGGCGGCGGCGATGACGCTCGAGGCCTCGCCGGGGTTCAGGGCGGCCGGGCCGCTGCCCTCCCCGGGGGGCCCGGTGGCCAGGGGGGCTCGGCGACCCCCCGCCTCGACGGGGGCGGCCGTGGTGTTGTTGTTGAGGTTGTCCTGCAGCGTGGTCTGGGTGCCCTGCCCGACCTGCTGGTTCTGCAGCAGCATCTCCTGGATCCGGATCTGCTGCAGGATGGCTGGCAGCTCGTAGTGGTGGAAGAAGTAAATCATCGAGTGCTGGAGGAAGAGAGGGAAAGGAGTCACCCCCGGGCCTGGGCCACAAGCTACCACATCCCAAGAAAACCGCACTTCTCCTGGAGAATCCAGCTGCTCTGACAGTCAGCAGGTTAGCACAAAGTTTGGGCTTTTGACTGCTGCAAGCTGCTTTATAGTTTCTCTCTGAAGACAGGCAACAGAGTACAACCCCTCTTCCCTTTTAAGGGCTGGGAAAAGAAGGATAATGGTATTCCTCTGGACTGTGCTCCATTCCCTGCCCCCACCCTGCAGCAGGTCAACAGCCAGAGACACCCAACAGGTTTAACTGATCCAGGATATTGGAGACATCACCTCGGAGCTGGTCCTGCCAGCATCCTCACTGCATGGACCTGAGCTGCCCCTCTGCAAAACAGGCCCTCATCAGGATTTACTGCAGAAGGAGAGGACAGAAAGCCTTCCCAGAACCTGTGTGGCATCGGGTTATTGTCATGCCCGTGACTGGACTGCAGACAGTGACTCACAGGTTCCCCTGTTCCACAGCTGCCTTCTGCTGTTCCATTTCCAAACCAGGCTTAGTTCCATCTCTTACAGAAAAAAGGATCCCTACTCCAACCCAGCCTGAGAGGAAGTCTGGCAAACCCCCCCCAGGTGCAGCAGCTGTGCAGGGACTCACCTGGATGAAGAGCCAGGAGGTGACCAGTGCCAGGCTGCTGTACTGCCCGTTGAAGCGGTAGTGGTAGGCATAGAAGGCAAAGTGGTACAGATAGAAAAACCTAGACAGGAAGGCAAGGAAAATCAGGAAAAATATGAGCTCTGTTCTACTCCCAAGCCCAGCCTGAGCTGGGGCACTTGGTCTGGGGCAGTGCAGACTCGTTAACAGGTAATCAGAGTTGCCTGGCTACGAATGGGGCAAAACAAGGGGCAGGAAAAGGTCGAGGTGATTCTGAGATCCAGGCACAAATCCAAAGCGGAGCAATCGCACTTTGGACCCTGTGCCATGTGGGGCAGCTCCCAAGGAGCCACACAGACACCCTCAGGAGTGGAGGCCGGAGGGGCTGGGAAGGCCCTGGAGCAGCTGAAGAAGGACAGGGAGAGGGAATGAGCCCTTACCTGAGCCAGTGTCTCTTGCTGGTGTTGGTGTGGCAGCAGATTGCGTCGTACTGGTCCGCCAGCCACACGATGAGGATGATGTAGAACGCGGTCGTGGTGTCGTTGAAGAACTCGGACATTATGGCCTCCATACCTGCGGACAGAGGGGACATCAGCACAGGCAGGGCACGGGAAGGGGCCCTCTGCCACCCCAGGGCCAGGCTGTGACTGCACCTGCCCAGGGCAGATAACTGGGCTCTGGTTACAGCAGCAGCCAAGGCCGAGCGTGTTCCAGCGCTGACGGCAGGGACCAGCTGCCTCCCCCAGCACACATTTCGGGGGTTTGTTGCTTTTTAAATTCAAACTGTGCAAATGCAGTCTGGCTACAGAACGTAAGTCTGCAATGAGCTCCAGGGACACAAAGCTTCGGACTCTGGGATTTCCCAATGAACTGCTGCTTTTCCAGGGGACCCAGAAGGACAATGGAGCTCACTGTGCCATCAGATTCCAGAGCCTTCTGCCTTGTGATGAGCAGCCGTGCTAACCACCTGCCGCGGCCAGCTCGGAACAGGGAATCAGACTTCCCACAGACCCCAGAGGGATGTGCTGCAGATACAAAGCAGTGAGGCAAGTCCTTACCAACCAGAGCCAGGATGACAGTGAGGAGCGGAGCCGCAGGGAACGCAATGGTCATGTTCATCTCCAGCATCTGCAACAGGTCAACTGCAAGAGGGAAAACACAGTGTGGCACAGAGAGGACGTGGGGCCAAGGAACTCTCCACCCCATGGTACTGCCCACTCAGTGCAGCCAAGTCCATCATCCCAAATCCTCTGTGCCCAGCACTTGTCAGGAGACAGAACAGCTCTGGCGAGCGCGGTGACAGGGTGCAGGGGGATGGATTCCCTGTGCAGCTAAAAGTAGGACCCTTCTAAACAACAAAAATCAAGGTTGGAACAAGATGATCCTCAAGGTCCTTCCAACCCAAACCTGCTGTGACTCTACAACACACTGTGCTGGAGCAGGCACAGTGCCCAGCACAACCCAAACCCCTCAGCCAGTCCTTACCAATGAAGACAAAGATCTGATGGTGTGAGTAGCGCAACAGCATCGAGACAGACAGAGTCTGAAACAGGAGAGAGAAGGGGAGGCAGGTTAGAGCCCCACGGGTGTGGGACAGGTTAGAGCCCCACGGGTGTGGGGAGTCCTCGGGATCGCACTGCGGCAGAGGCCCGGGCGAGCCTGGGCTTGCACATCCCACATTCGTTAGCTGGAGCTGTGCAGAGCAATTTGCCAAAGAGTAATTAGGGCTCTACAAACGGCAATTAATCTCTGTGCTGCTGCAGGGGAACAGACAGTAAGGGATTTGTTTGTAAAGGGACCGATCCTGAATATTTGAGCGGGGGCCAAGCCAACCCACAGAGCCGGGAGCAGGGAATCTCCTGTCCTCCATCCCGCTCCTGCCGCAGCTCCCAGCACCTCTCTGCACTTGGTTCCTCCTCACTGCCCACAGTGATTGTGCACAGAGCTGCCTCAGTGGGTGGGACAGCCAGACACAAGGGGAGAGTCCCACAGCCACCCAAGATTACAAACACAGCGTAGTTATCTTTCGGGATCTTGTCTGATGTGTATCTTGAGATGGCCTCATCTCACACATCATCTCTTGGTTTATCTTGATCACTCCTGGCAAATCAGTCTGGCCTGTTCTTAAAAGTCTCAGAGGACAAACGTCGTGCAGGACACTTAGAACAAAAGTCCCAGAGTAGGGCTTCATCCTCCACCAACTACACTTTAAAAGCAGGTGAGAGCTCAGGTCTGTGCTGTTACACCACCCACATGCTGCCCAGCCCTGGCTGAGTCCAGGCACTGCCCAGCTCCCGCTGACTTACGAAGATGACCATGATGACAAAGGCTGCCAGGTAGGACGTCCTGGCCATCCACATGCTGACGAAGCGATAGTGCTCCCCAGACACCACATTGCGAAGGAAACCTGGAGAAAAAGCACAAACACCAGCTCAGTGTGATCAACACACAGGTAAGGACCAACTGCCACTGCCTGCTACAGAAACAGCATCTGGAGCAAATCCTCAGGGCAGCACTCATTGTCATGCAGGGCAGTGAGGAGGGAGGAAATCAGGTTTCCAGACACCTCTTCCCTCCTGCCTCTCTCATTTTGTCCTTGACAATAACACAGGGAGCTGCTCCCTGCGTTACAGATTAATCAATAGTCAGAAGATGATATTCAGGCATGCACAGAACAAACACCCACCGCTCCACGCAGCCGCTGTCACTCCTCCAGGCCTTACCCTTGTTTTCCTCGTTTTCAGCTAAAGCTTTGACACTTGACATCAGGATGTCATCATAGCCCAGGAACTCGTCCAGCAGCAGGCGGCTGAACCTGTCCCCAAAGCACTGATCCCTCGTAGGGTCTAGGGAGAACACAAAAACCTGCTCAGACTGTTCACACCCGCAGCCCCAGAGGCACAAAGAGAGCACACGTCCCATCACCCCGAGGGACACGTGTGCCAGCAGAGCTGGGCCTGGGCCAGCACGTGGGCCTGGGGCAGTAAAACCGAACTGGGCGGGTCTGGGAGGGAAGATGTCACCCCTGACAGATCCAGTCACACTGTCAAAGTGCTAATGGGCCTTCAGGAATGTCAGGGCTGGCACAGACACAAACGGAATTTGGCTCACCCTGTCTGCCCATCACTGCACAGGAAAATCACCTAAACCCCTGTCCAGTTTTGCTTCAGCTGACTGGGAGGAAGTAACAAGGTTCAGTCTGATCAGGGCACTAACAGTGCACGAGAAGGTCTGAGACTATATTCCTGACTTGGACAGGTTTTAACAGAGCAAATGCCAGGAGGAGAGAGCGCTGTTCCAGGGAAACGATCTGCTGGTGCTCCCAGGGGCACAGGAGCATGTTGAGTGTGACACAGACCTGTGAGCACCGTCCCCAACACCTGCACAGCTGCCCTCACCACTGGGCTCTAACCCTGCACTGCTGCTGCTCCCACTGAGCCCAGAGCTTCAGTGCCTTCAGCCAGGGAGAGGGCTCTTCCCTTCTCCCTGGGAAACAACTGTGCTGGGCATGACATCAGGGCTCACTGAACCAGGCTCCACCATTTCAGAGTGCTCCTCCTGGAAAGCTGTGACCTACTAAAGGGAGACGGGCTGCACACAGCAGCTCTCCTGCGTGGGGAGTGAGTGCACTTCATAAAGAGTTCCCAGGGACAGCGTGGAGGTCTCTGCACAGCAGGTCCCCACCCCTGCCCCCCCTGCCCTGCCCAGGCTGCCTCCCCACTCACCCAGGGTCACCACCATGACTGGGATGCTGAGGCGCTGCCGTGTGCTCTGGGACAGGCGCAGGAAGCCGTATTCCAGCGAGTACTCCACGATGTACTCCTCCTGTGGCCACACTGGAGAGGGAGGGACACAGGGAGGCTCAGCACCTGGATCTGCAAACAACCACCACCAAGAAACAGCCCCTCCGGGTTCGTTCCCTCCCTCCCATCACATTCTTGAAAAGGGAACCAGCTGCAAACATGGGCTCCAGGCTTCCCTCAACCACTTAAACATAAATCAGTTCAAACTCTTCGGAACTGCAGCCCATTCCCCTGATCTTAGTCCTTAATGTGAGGCTTCTGGGAAAGCTTCAGGGCAGCACTTCCAAGCTCTGCCCAGAACCTGCCCACATCTGTGCCTGGCAAGCCCAGAATCACTTGTTCTTGCTCTTTTCAATTTCTGCTTCCCATGTTGTTTGGGAAACAGCAGGAAAATCCACTTTACACCTGCTGAACACCGAGTAAATGCTCCACAGGCAAGAGCCCTGCACTTCCTGGGGACTGAGGTCACTGCTGCAATTACACATCAGAACAGAAGGCAGCAGCAATTACAGCTCTCCCAAAAACCGGTGGTGCCTGAAGTTTCCCTGGTTTGGTTTTTTTTTTTTTCCAAGAAAGGTTCCAAACAGATGCTTTTTGCTACATCATCTCTGAAAGGACAAAACCTCCTGCTAAGCTGGAGCCAAGCAATTTAATCCCTGCTCTTTCAGACTGTCAGGGTGTATCTCCAGGAGGGGGGAGGCAGCTGTCAGGCAGCTCCCAGCACCACAGTGGCAATTAAAGTGACACGAGAACTTAACAGAGACACACCTGACACAGCACTGACAGAGATGCAGCCCCTGACCCCCTTCTCAGGCAGCAAACGCAGGCTGGGCTGTCGGTTTTGTCTTTTGTTTCCATTATAAACAGTTTTAAGCTCAAAAGGAAGTCAAGGGTTTAAATATCAACAATTACTTCCTTTGTCTCATAAAATATTTTTCCATGGCAAAAACATTTGGACTAAACAGCAAATTTTGTTCACTTAGAGCACAGGAAATCTGGCAAAAAACAATAAACTCAGGTATTTGGGACCAATTTGAAGAGATGAATTTTGTAACTCATCTGGGAAACAGCCTGATTCTCTCCCTGCCCTTTTCTGGATCATTTCCAGCCACACGTTCAGCAAACCAAGAGTTACCCCACCAGTGCCACAGCTCTGCACAACGTGACTCTCCTCAGAACCTGGGCAATAAAGGTCCTGCACCAAAAACATTTACTGCTCTCTGGTCTTAATGATCTTTAATTCAGGACTAATGAGCTCTGGATCAGCATCAAGCAAATCCACTGCAAGACCAAGGAACAGAGCAGTGTCTGGTCTCCCCTTCCTCCACAGACACAACCCCGGTATGTCTGCAGAGCAAAGAGTTCCAGCCTTTCCAGGGACAACAGTGTGAGTGAAAGAGGCAATTTTTTTGCAAATTTTGTGGAAAAAGGCAAAGAATCCAATTCCACATCTCTATTTTAATATAAATATTCCTCAGTAGATTTCCTCCCTTAACCACTAGAGACACAAGTTTTCCACACTGGAATTCCATTTTAAATAACACAAAGGCACTAAATCCCCCTGTGGAGTTTAGGAGGCCTGAGCAGCTCAGGCCAGGCAGGAACAGGGCGGGACAAGGCCGGGTGGTATCGCAACCCACGGAACCCGCCCGGCGGCTTTTGGGATTCATTAGTTGGAGCAAATTGGCTGCTCCAAGTGCTGCTGCTGGCTCAGGACCCAGGACACAGCCCAAACCCTGCTCGTGTGAGGAGGAGTGTCGCTGCCAGGGGATCCCTGCGGCTCACAGGGGGGCTCAGGCTCACCTGAGATACCTGACACCGATCACCGCAGGAACGCACTGCCAGACCAGGAGCCCTCGCTCACCTGGGCTTCACCTGAAGCCTCTCGGTCTGGTAACGCTTCTAGAACCAGGCCTGCCGCCACCCCACGCGGCCGGCTCTTCCCCGACCCCAGCCCCGGGGCAGAGTTTGCTGTGGGTCTGCTGTTAGTGCTGACAGGACTGACCCCAGGTGAACACATTGGGAGGACATTCAAGGTCACTGTGCGGGTGCCCCGAGGAGCCAGGACAGGACGTGCGGGGAGGATGACGGGGAGGAGGGAGGAGCACAGGTAGCAGTGAAGGTGTGATTACCTGCTCGGGTTAGCATCTCAAACTCGGACACAGTCTCCCGCAGAGGCTGCATACCTTTAGTGGCTGTGTCACTAAACGAGAACTCCTGGCTGTCGTTGTGGGGCAGCTCAGTGCTGCTCACCCGGGACGGCTTGAGGAACACCTTAGGCTCGATATCCAGCTCAAACTGTTGGAAAAACAGGGCAGGGAAAGTCACATCAGCAGGCTCTTCACCTCCCACCTGCCATGCTCCTTCTGTCCCTGCAAAGGCCTCCACCACCACAGGGGTGGGAGAGGCCACTTTCTCAGGCCACTTTCTCGCTTCCTGTGTTAAACCATCAGAAGCCAACACGGGAATTCAGGAGCAGCCAAGGAACCCACTGTACTTCCAGGAGACTGAGGGATCACACACAACCAACCAACCGTTTCTTCCCAGCCCATCACCCAGGTCTCCCTCTCTGACCCACTCAGGGAGCACAATCCCTAACCTTGATAGAGCTGTTTTCAAACATATCCACGGTCATTTCTTCCTCCTCCTCCTCCTCCTCCTCAGCCGCGGACTCAACCACCATTCCCGGGAACTTCTCTCCGCCGCAGAACTGCAGGAAGATGGGGGCCCGGCTGGAGTTGCGCTGGATCTCCACCCGCAGGATCCCGTCCCGGGGCCACTTGTCCCGCACGTGCTCCAGGCAGTTGATGGGCGAGCGGGAGAAGGCGATGTGGATGTAGGCCAGGATGAAGAGCACGAAGAGAGCCTGCAGGGCGGGAGACAAGGCACAGACCGTCAGCCCGGCCACCCTCGGCCCGAGTACAGCCTTCCCAGTTACCACCAGCTCCTCTTTGCCCATAAAACACTAGAAAAACTTGGACAAGTGGATTTGGCAAGTGGACAAGAGCTTCGGTGCTTCCCTGCATCAACAAGGCAGGAGCCAGACCCTGGCAGTTTGAGCAAGGAACACACCAAAGGCAGCAGGGACCTCCTGCTCCTGTTCATGAGACCAGAGCTGCCCTCGACCCCTGTGCAGCTCAGGTACCCTGCTGGAAGCACAGGTCCTGCAACCAACACCCTCCCCAAACTGAACCACACACAGCACTAACGTGGAACGAGGCTACAAGGCATGTTGAAAGGAATGGAAATGCATCCATGGCTTCCAACCCTTCCCTCCTCAGCACAAAGAGTTTCCTGCTGAAGCCCAAAGACTGCCCAGCCTTCCAAAGGCAGAATAAAGCAAACCTCTCCCAAAGCCAACCCCTCTGAGGGCAGGACGACCCAAACCCACGGCAGACCTGTCGCTGCAAGGAACGGGCCCTGCCCCAGGGCGGCCAAAGGGCTCCCTGCCCTGCCTCAACCCCAGGAACAGCTATAAACCACAGCAAAGCACACTGCACTAATAAAACCCGCTCCCTAAAGCACAGACAGTAACTGTGCATGACATCCAAAGTTCAGAGCTACGAGCACGGCTGGCACAGCGAGTGGCACCGCTCAGCTCAGACCTCCCTTCCACCCACCCCGAGCTGCTCCCTCCTCACCAGCCCAGCTGTCCTGACCTATTTGTGAACAAACAGGCTGGTAAACACCTCTCCACAGAGCAGCTGCACGAGGGATGTGAGGGAAGGTAAATCAGAGCCACCTCCCTGGTTGCAGGAGCTCTGGACAGGCTCTGCTCCCCTGTGCCCAGCAGCCAGAGCAAGCTGGGAGCAGGCTGGAGGCTGCTGGCTCCTGACCCTGCAGGGCTCTGGGAATGCTTTTCATTCTCTAGGATGGCAGTGATCAGAGGCAGAAGCAGCTGTTCTGCCCAACAGCCATACCTTGAGCACCACCCCTGTCCCAGCCTGTCTGCTGGGATCCAGCCGGACAACTGGGACACAGAACAGGGATGTGAAAATCCATAACATGTCTTGGGAGGGTAGAAAAAGTATCTGTGCAGTATGAGACAAGTTCTGCTGAACGTTTTCTTGCTGAATTGTAAAAACCCAGAGCAGGAGGGTGGCCTGGTAAGCTGCTCTCCCCTTCTTACTCTCACTTCCCATCCTAGAAGCCATGGAGCAGGATTTAACCTACTGGTAGCTCACCCCTGCACACTGACAGGCAGGTCACCCTGGAGGGCCCCAGCAGGCAGAAGGGTTCAGCCCGGGGCAGAGCTGTGCTGCACTGGCACTGCTGAAAAAGCAGGGTTAGAACAGGGCTGTGCCTTAACTGCTTCCAGAAAAGACAAGACTCCAACAATCCAGTATGTCATGTGTGCAATGCATCCAAAGTGTGATTTCCTGGAAACAGAAACCGAATCCTCTCCAGCCCAGAGCCCGGGACATGCCCTGCACCAGCCCGGCTGCCCAGCGAGCTGGCTCAGGGATTTCCTTTGGATTTGCGGACCTGGAACCAGAGCCCCGGAGTGCAGGAACTCCTCGTGTCTCCCACACAGGAGAGGCCCACGGGAGGTCTGGGGACAGCTTGGTGTGTGCGGCCCAAACACAGGCTGTGACCTCCGGCAGAGCCACAACTTTTTGTTCCTAAGGAAATCCCTGCCCTCAGCCCGGCTGCGCCTGGCAGGACGAGCTGCCCCTCACCTTGAGGAGGACGAAGAACTCGAAGACGCGGCGGAAGGAGGGCGGGAAGAGGCGCGCGTAGGTCACTGCCATCTTGAAGAACAGCGCGTGGAAGAGGCGGTCGCGCACGTTGATCAGGGGGTTCTGGTTGAGGTTGGGGTTGCGGACGCCCCGGTTGTTGCCGCCGGCGGCCCCGGTGTTGTTGGCCGGGTGGTGGT